CGAATGGATCAACTCGTTCCTTGTCAAGTTCTGGCCTATCTACCAGCCCGTCCTCGCCCAGACCGTCATCAACTCCGTCGACCAGGTTCTCAGCATGTCTACCCCAGCTTTCCTCGACAGCTTGAAGTTGAAGACCTTCACTCTGGGTTCCAAGCCGCCTCGTATGGAGCACGTCAAGACATACCCCAAGGCTGAAGATGAGGTTGTCATCATGGATTGGATGTTCAGCTTCACCCCTAATGATACCGCCGATATGACTGCCCGTCAACTCCAGAACAAGGTTAACCCCAAGGTTGTTCTGGAGATCCGAGTTGGAAAAGCCATGATTAGCAAGGGTCTCGATGTTATCGTTGAGGACATGTCCTTTTCTGGTCTCATGCGCCTCAAGATCAAGTTCCAGATGGCCTTCCCTCACATCGAGAAGGTGGAAATGTGCTTCCTGGAGAGACCCAAGATCGATTACGTTTGCAAGCCCCTTGGAGGTGACACCTTCGGTTTCGATATTAACTTTATTCCCGGTCTTGAGAGCTTCATTCAGGAGATGATTCACGCTACGTTGGCACCAATGATGTATGCGCCCAATGTCTTCCCTATCGAGGTTGCGAAGATGCTCGCTGGTACTCCCGTCGACAGAGCCATTGGTGTGGTTGCCATCACTTTGCATGGTGCGCAAGGCCTCAAGAACCCCGACAAGTTTTCTGGAACCCCTGATCCCTACGCCGTCCTTTCCCTTAGCAAGAGGCAGCCTCTTGCGCAAACCAAGGTCATCAAGGAGAATGATAATCCCCGTTGGAACGAAACGCACTATATTATCATCTCCTCCTTCAACGACTCCCTCGATATCGATGTTTTCGACTTCAACGATTTCAGAAAAGACAAGAAGCTTGGTGTCACCTCCTTCCCTCTTGAGAATTTGGAAGAGATCAACGAATTTGAGAACGAGAGACTCGAACTCAAGTATGATGGCAAAGCTCGTGGCGCTGTATCCTGTGACATCCGTTTCTTCCCCGTGCTTGAGGAGATTAAGCTTCCCGATGGCACTGTGGAACCTCCCCCGGAGTCAAACACTGGTATCCTGAGCTTCACTGTTGAACAAGCCAAGGAGCTCGACTCGTCGAAGAGCATGGTTGGTCAGCTAAACCCTTACGCAATGCTTCTGCTCAATGGCAAGGAGGTACACAAGACGAAGACGATGAAGCGTACAAACCAGCCTATCTGGCCCAATGGCTCTAAGGAAATATTGATTACGGACCGCAAGAACGCTAAGCTTGGTGTCGCCCTGAAGGATGATCGCGATATTGCCGGAGATCAACTTTTGGGCACATACCAAATTAAGCTGGACGATATGCTTGAGTTCATGGCCAAGGGTCAGGACTGGTACAGCCTCGCTGGTACCAAGACTGGCCGGGTAAAGATGATGGCTCAGTGGAGGCCGGTTGCCATTTCCGGTGCTGCTGCAAGCACTGGAGGCTACACCACGCCGGCCGGTGTCATGCGCTTACACTTCATCAATGCCAGGTCCCTACGCAACGTGGAAGCGCTTGGAAAGTCTGATCCTTATGTCCGTGTTCTGCTGTCTGGTATCGAACACGGTCGCACTGTCACTCACAAGAACAACCTCAACCCCGACTTTGACGAAGTTCTCTACATTCCGGTTCATTCCCCCAAGGAGCGCCTCCAGCTCGACGTTATGGACGCCGAGAACATGGGTAGAGACAGGAGTCTTGGCCTCACCGAGATCTTTGCCGGTGATTACATGAAGAAGGATCCCGAGACTGGTGAATGGCTGGTTCATGAGAAGAAGGATCTTCGCCAGGATGGTCTGCGCATGCACGGAAAGGGCGTTGCCAAGGGTGTTCTTTCGTACACGGTTGCTTTCTATCCTTGCCTCAACATTGCTGATCCTGAGGATGATGAAAAGGAGGAACAGAGCGACCAGTCCTCTGAGCCTAAGCAGTCCTTGGATGTCCCCAGATCATCCGATGCTGGCAAGTTCTCCTCCACCTTGGAGAGAACTGACAGCATTAAGCCGGAGAACGGCGGGACCTCGAGACCTATCACACCTAAGACACCGGTTACTCCCACTTCTGTCGTGGCTTCGAGGAAATCCAGTGACCAGAAGGAGCCACCCAAGCTTCGCCTCAACCCACAAGAACTGCTGCAATACGAATCCGGTCTCATCATCTTCAAGCTCATGGAGGCAGAACTTCCGAAGAGCCAATGCCGCGTCGAGGTCTGCGTTGATGATTATGCGTTCCCGTCTTATGTCTCCTCGACCTCGAGGACGAAGACACACACTTTCGATGAGATTGGCGATTGCTTCATTCGTGAGCTGGAATTCTCCAAGCTAACAATCAAGATCAACGAGCGATCCGAAAAGCAGGAGGAAAATGGCAAGGAGAACACGCTTGCTCGCCTGTCAGGAAACACACTTGATACACTCAAGCAATGCCTTGTAAGTCTTGTCGCAAGCGGGCGATCTCAGGTTTCTGGACCATAGCTAACAGTTGCAATGCAGAACAACCCAACTACCCTCAAACTCAAGAATGAGGATGGTAAGGTCTACTCGATCAAGGTCAGCCTCAAGTATGTTCCAGTTCGGATGCAGCTCGACCCCAGTGAGAGCATCAACAACATGGGCCATCTTCGCGTCGATGTTTTGGATGCCCAGAACCTTCCGTCTGCCGACTCTAACGGCAAGAGCGACCCTTATGTCAAGTTCGAGTTCAACGGCCAGGAGGTATTCAAATCCAAAACCGTAAAGAAGACGCTGAATCCCACTTGGAATGAGTTCTTCGAATTGCCGGTTCCAAGCCGTACTGCAGCCACTTTCAAGGCTTTAGTGTGGGATTGGGACTTTGCCGATAAGCCTGACTTCCTCGGTTCTGCTGATATCAACCTCGGTCAGCTCGAACCCTTCAGAGCACAAGAAGTCCGACTTACCCTTGATGGTAAGTCGGGTGTGCTGCGCCTTCGCCTCCTTTTCCGCCCCGACTATGTTACCAGAACCAGACAAGGAACCTCAACATTGGTCGGCACATTTGCTGTCCCCGGCAAGATCGTTACAGGTGTCGCGGGCGTTCCTCTGAAGGGCGTTGGTGCCGTTGGACACGGTGTTGGCAAGGGCGCGTCCTTCATCAAGCGTGGCTTCCGCAGCAACACCAAGAGGGACGATGATTCGGATAGCAACACCAATAGTTCGGTTGAGCTCCCTACCATCATTACCAACGCGCCAGAGCCTCCTTCGGGCCTGAAGCGGTCGGCGGTCATCACAGAAGCTGACGGCTCTTCGAATGAGCTCCATCATGCACGGACAAGGAGTGTGGGTGCATCCTCGGTTCGTAGCGCCATGTTCCCTGGAGCCTCGTCAGGAACGGCCTCTTTCACGGTTGTCTCGGCTTCTGGGTATCCTCCTTCTACTGATGTGTACGTCACGATCACACAATTGAAGGATGGCAAGTCAAAGGCTGTTGGCAAGACCAAGCACCGCAAATCTTCAAGCGGCACTGTCAAGTTTGACGAAACCTTCAACATCCAGTGCACGCCTGATTCGCAGTTCAAGATTGAGGCCAAGGAGCATCACACCTTTGGAAGTGATGATCATCTTGGAGAGAGCGTCTATTTTGTTGATGAGTCGAACTCCGGACAAGAAAAGGCGCTGAAGGTTGGAAGTGGAACAGTGTACCTCAAGAGCGGGTTCGTTCCATCTGAGAGTGCCCAGGACGCATCTAGCACACTTAGCCCTGACCAGAGCCCCAAGTCATCTAGTCTAAGGCGGAGCTTTCTGAGCAAGGGTGCGAGGTCCCCTAGCCGTGATGGTCCTTGATCTGGTTTCGTACTTCTCTTGCGTTGTTTGGAAGGAGTTTGCGTTGATTAGGTATACGGTGGCTTAGTTTGGCTAGGTCTGAAGGGATGGTTGGGGACAATTAGGGCGTATCGAATAAGTTACCACTACGTAGGATACCTTGGCCAGCAATGATACCTTTTTTTGCAGTACAATTTGCATTGACGATCTATAATGTGTCTCTACTTGTTTCCATACAAGACTTTTGGCTTTCTTTGATAACATAGGTAGTCAGCTTTGTTGGAGTTTTTGATTGCGGTCCGCATGCTTGCACTGAAGAAAGATCTTAACCGGCCAGCCGGGTCAGGGAGGACTTACCGTTTGCCGCAAGATCACACGTGTGTTTTCAACGTTAGTTCTTTACGGAAATTGTGTTCATCTGAAGCATCCAAGCGCCAGGCGTCGTCTGTAGAGAACGTGGGATCGGAAATTGGGTTTCTGCACTCCATACTCAGTTGTTGCTCATTGTTTCGGTTTGTGTACTATAGGTCCAACGGTTGAGCCAACACTAGAAGAGACGAGATATATAACTTCTCTAAGGAATTGTCCAATAATGGCATGCCGTTGTTTGGTCTTCATACAAGTAAGGGGGTGATGTGCCCCTGATGACTTCCATACCATGAAAGTTTCCGTTGGTTGGTGATCCACATTCTCCCGTCCCGCAGGAGGAGGTCTTCCCCTAAAAGGGTGGAATTTAGCGCCCCTTGCAGAAGTGGCACCCATTACCGGTCAACCACGCGATTACCCACAGGGGCATCCGCTGTAACGTCCTGGACAATCCCGAGTGGCAGGCCATTCCCAACCAACATCGCAATCCGCAACCTCGAGACTCCAGTTCCAGTTGGCTCGTGAAAGTGTTCAAGAACTGACTGGAGTTTCATCCCAGTCAGGTAGATGTGTCCTCTTCATGACCTTTGTCCTCTTCTAACGTTTGGACCAGAGTCTGGCACGTCGCGATCTATCGATTCCTTCTGTTTTGATCGGGAGCGAGACACGGCACCACGGCTTAAAGCACCGTCATCGAAGACCTCGAGTATCCCCGACGATTCAGCGTTCCACGACGTCGTGAAGCCGACCGCGATCGATACACACGCCAATCACGTACACTGAACCATTTGCGGTTACCGCCGGTACCAAACACTCTGCATTTCCCACGATGGACCAGGCCGATATACCGGCGCTGCTCTCGCGCCTCGCTAGTGACGAGGATGCGGCGCGCAAGATGGCAGTGTTCAAGCTCCAGTCATCCATCAACGACCCAGCATTCGCCGACGTCTTCATCGGCTCGGGCGGTCTCGTCATCCTACGCCGTCTCATTATGTCCACCAACGGAAACACATTGGCATATTCGCTGCAGAGCTTGAGCCGACTGCTCGAGGTGGACATGGGCTGGGATATCTTCGAGGGCCCCAATGCGGGAGAGCTGGTTGAGCGCGTAGTCGAGCTTGTCGTCACCAACCCGCTGGTCAACATTCTGCGAGGTGCCATGTCCATCTTGGTTGGTCTCGTCAGTCATTCGCAATCGACAGCCCGTGGGGGCACGCCACGCACGCCAGGCACCTTTGGATTTAGGGCGCTCAAACCTGCGGTCGCGGTGTACCCGCAATTCTTCGAACTGGTCATCATACAGCTACAGTCGGCGGACCACGCCCTTTGCGCAAACGCCTTGATGTTGATTAACGCGCTCATAAGGGATGCGGTATCCAACGACAACGGACCTACCTTGCTCGTGTCAAGCTCAAAGGGCACAGTACCTCCTGGTGAGGAGTGGTCCAAGTTCATCAAGAAGCTTCAGGATCTAGGATTGATCAAGGCGGTGTACAATCTCATGCAGAGCTCGTCGTTACAGGATCTGGCGCACCCGCTACTTGAATTTCAGACCCTGACCAAGGTCCTGCTTCGGAAATGGAGGGGCGTGAGGGTGGACTTGGAGCGGCCAGAACACAGGAGAGCGCTGAAGGGCTTACATCTTGCAAGCGCACCCGAGAGACGTCAGGCTAACGGAGGAATGACGACCTTGTCCCCCACGGGAAGACCATCAACGGCCGCGACAGTTGTAGCCAGGGAAGAGGCAGAAAACGGAGGCGAGACTGCAGCAGGGAGGAAATCAAGCAGACGGCATAACCCCGAGAAGTGGAGGAGATTGGGTTTCGAGACAGAATCACCGGCATCCGAGTTCGATGTGGCCGGCTTCCTGGGCATGATGGACCTGACAGACTACGTGCGCAAAAACGAGGATGGGTTCCAGAAGCTGCTGCTCGAGCAGTCTAGCAAGCCACTCAACGAACGATGCCCCGTGGCGCGGGCTAGTTTGGCCGTGACCATGATTCTGTACGAGCACTTCGAGGTTGAGAAATGCGATCTGGACGATATTAGGAACGGCGGCTACTACCAGCTTGTCGACGGAGGCAGCAAAGCTCACGACAAACTTTTCCGTCCCTTGTTGCTTCAGTGGTCACGACTACACACCGCAGGACTACATGCCTTCTTCCGGATGTGGAAGGCGACTGGGGCGACTCGATATGATTTCGACAAGGTGGCAGAGCTCGTCCGGATCCTGATCGATCAAGTGGTTGGGCAGGCCAGCAGGAGCAAGGACGTGCTGGAGGTTGAGGATGATCTGCATGAGTATGATTCTGGAAGACTCCGAGAGTTGCAGATGGATCTACTAGAGCTTTCGTTCGAGGAGCAGTGGGGTCCCCATCTCTTCCAGGTCCGCGAAGAACTCAAGCACGAAGCACTGCAGTTCGTCAAGGAGCAGCGTATCCGTTGTCTCTTGCAGGGTTCATGGTTTTCCAAGCCCCAGCCTCATCGCTCCAACCACTCTAGGTCGGAAAGCGTCAAAACCGGGCAAGATAAGGGTAGCCGTCTGTACCAGCCTTGGCGGTTCGCGAAACTTTCGCACAACAGACGGTATCTTCACTATGCCGACTTTGCAGAGCAGGCAGAACACGATCCTGGTTTAGAAGCTTTGACAGAGAAGATCGATTTGATGAGCATCAGCTCGGTAGTATCGAATGTGTCAAACGGGGAGGATGCCGCAGCAGCAGGTGAAAACGGAAATCAGGCCTCGTCAAGCCTGACAAGTCTCACTAAGGACGCTAATTCTACCACCCCGGCAACGGCTAACAAATCGACGACGAAGATCACTATTTACAGTCTTTCCGAAACCTTCTCGCCGGAGCTGGCCAGTCTCGCCGCCGCAGGGAAGACCAAGGAGCAGCCGATCCTGACGCTCCATCCTCTCAATCACAGTCTGGCGTCGGAGTGGCTGGACGGTTTGCTTATGCTCCTCAACCAGGCCCCCATCACGGCCGAGACTAACAAGCTCGTTACGCTGGTGAGCGAGTATGGCCTCAAGATACGTCTGCTCAATGTCAGGGCTGAGGCGGCCGATAATGGACCGGTTCCGGGCGCTGGTCAGGTGCCTAGTCGGGAGGGGTTGGATGAGGATTACTATTATGAGATTTGACCGGATGATTGGACCTTTGGGTCTGTCTTGCGTTGTCTTTATCATCCGCCTTCTTTTTTTTTCTCTAGACTCCGTGTTGTTCCATCCATCTTCTTCGTTTGTTTTCATATCAACCTTTTTATTATTATACCCAAGATCTCATTCTTCTTTCATCTTGTTCCATTTTCATTTTCCTGCCCTACTTGCTCACTTCTCGCGGAGCTTTCGGTTTGTTCGAGGGTTGATTATGCTGTACTATACCGTAGTAGTCGTTGCTAAAAGTTAATTTGATGATTGAGGATGGGAACTCCATAATAATCAATCGTTCCATCCAATCCTAATCGACATATTTGGGGAGGTACGTACCAAACGATACCTTTCATTCCATATGATGACCGATATGAGGTCCAGACCGCGAAAGAAACACCGTTGGAAGACGGGAAAAGGTCGGGTTGCCCCTGATTTCTGTCAGCTCTAACAGGCGCACGTGGCGCTGTCGAGGTACCATTGCACCTTCCTGCAGCGGAGCTTATAGAGGCGGGGTAGGTATGAATGATGAATGAATGATGAATGAATGATGAATGAATAATGAATTCTACCAATACTAGACAATGAGTCGTGCCCGCGACGGCGGCTGGGCATAGGTACATAAGTGCGGGGAAAAAGCATCGGTCAGCCAAGTCGAACTATGGCGTGGCTTTACGTTTAAAATCCTAATTTTTATACGGTTTTAAATAACTATTTAAAAGACTCTTTTCATAAGCTATTCCCGACATTACGAGGTTTTGAAAAGTGTATATTATCCAAGGAGAACGCTGTCCTTTCCGATGTTGAATGAAAAGAGGTTGAGAAAATTCCAATTAGAATACGGCTTAGCCGTTTTAGGTTCAGCAAACGGCGTTCTAAGAGGAAGTTTTCGAAGAGTGGTTGTCGCTCGCCCCCCGACGAGCTGTCGTCTCTCCGGCGCTCTTTCTTCTTAAGATGCTTTTGAAGAGCTCGGTTTCAAAAGCTATGGCTGGGGGCGAGACGGCGGTGAACTCTCCAAAGGCCGCCGTCGTGGTCGTGATTGTAGTTTCGAATGTATCTTCCCGAGTTCAAAATGATAGAAAAGTAGTGGGTTAGGCCACCGATATCTATTGCACCAAAAATAGGGTAATCCTAGCATGGTCACTAATAACCGACTAACAATGGATGCCAAGAAAAATAGTTTCGGGGGAGAGTTGGCGGGGTAGGTAGTTATGTTAGTGCAAAGCAGCTGCTAGCACCGACTACACTGCATGGGCCACGCTCACCTCTAACAACTGAGTGGTAACAGAAGCGCAGAGAGCCCTTTGAATTCTTGTCGATTTATTGGTTGCGTCACCATTCTTCACTTCATCTTAACAACGACTTTTGTCAATCGTTTGTCTCAGGGCACCTATCGGGAAGGAAAGATCGACCGTGTTGATTGCATTCAAACGACCGCCCTATTCGTCTCTGAATCATTACAACTTTTCCCCCCGACATCGCTTATAGGTCGACGAGGATTTTCACCGGAAAGGACGACAATATAAGGTGAGGTCCAACCAAAAGACCTGAGCAAACTGAATACAAGTATCCGGGGGCATCCAGCCCCCCTCACATTTTTCAACAACCTGTACCTTAGGTAGGGTCAGCACATACCATGGGGAGAGGGAACGGATTTTTTCAAGAGTCGTCACCCTGGTTTCTTCAATAAAGAGGAAGGGCGATGGTACTGTGGGTAGTAGTTGAATCCCCCAACTCCCGCAAATTTGTCAACGCATGCTCATTCACTGACACCTCACTTTGTTGCGCATAACAGGCAGCTGTATGAATGGACCGCAACCTGCGGTCAAGCTCCTAGTCAAGAAGGAGGGACCAAACCAAAGAAGGTTTTTCTACGTGTGCCGAGAGCCTAAGGACATTGGAGCGATACCGGGCCAGTGCAGGTTCTTTCTTTGGGAGGACGCGGCGGAACTACGTGAAAGGGAAGCTGCTTTGAGGCCGGTACAGCGTTCGGTACAGCGTTCGGAGTACGTGGCAGACTCGAGAGAGTACATGTCGAGACTGCCCTGGTTCCCACCTTACGGCGAAGGATGGGGTTTTGCCGACTGTCCTTATCCCGACTGCAAGTACTGTCGAGATCCCACACCGGTTGATGACGACGTGGACAGTGTGAAGGTGAAGGAAGAAGATATGGACGATCAAGCAAGCGGGTTATCGGCGATGAAGGCTCCCGGGATGAGGAAGCGTCCAGCGGCAGCGGCAGCTACGGTAGAGGATGAGGAGGAGGAGGAGTACGGCACTCTTGAGTCGGACGTGGAAAGGCAGTTGGTCGAAATCGTAGACTCGAGTCCTCTCCGTCCGGGTCAACAACGACAGCAAGATCACAGGGGAAACAATGCCCCAGTGCCAGCGCCGGCCTTATCCCAAGCCCAAATGAGCAACACAACGAGGACGGCGATGCAACATCAGCATCCGGGCACCCGCACCCCGAACCCGCAGCGAAAATACGACGCCTCAGCATCTATGCTAACCCCGACATCACGAGGGAACTCTACAACCGCGGCATCCGAATCTAGCGCGACAAAACGCGTCAAGTTCTCCGACCCTAGAGGACCATCAACTAACACAAGAGCAACGACATCAACAACCCCCAGCCAAACCCAAGGCCGCTCCCTCCAAACCACTCCCGCCGGCGGTATCAGTAGACCCATCACCACAACGACGGGGCCAGGCCCAGGCGAAGATTACGAAATCACCACCTCGATCCTCAGCCTCCTCGCAAATGAGAAAGGAGTCGCCGACACGACCCGCCAAGTCATCCGCGACAAACTCAACATGTACGCTTTGCGCATGCGCGGCGTCGAGCGGGGGCGCGACATGACGAGGGCGGCGCTCAAGGCTAAGGAGGCCAAGGAGGAGGAGCTGAGAGCGAGGATTGAAGAGCTGGAGAGGGAACGAAAGAGTGCTGCTGATAAAATCAGGGCGTTGAGGGATGGGTTGGGGGAGGTGCTTGGGGATGTTGATGGTGGTGGTAGTAATGACAACGGTGGTGGGGTTGAGAGGTCAGGGATGGGAACGCGAGTAGATGGTTGGAAATTCTAAGAGAGCAGGTCGGGTTTCTTATCATAGCGAAGAATTTTGCGCTGCGGCGAGTGTTATGGGATTGGGATTCGGGATTTGGGATATGATTTTGTGGGAGACACGACGAACTTTCGCCCTTGAGCGGCGTCGTCGTTATATAATTGCGGTGCCCGGGAGTTTTGGTTTCTTTTCGATTCCGGTTGGGATACCATCTACAGAACGTTTCAGGGCAGCGTATGGGAATAAAGTTTGACAAAGAGCGCCATTGGTCACCGTATTGGGGTATACGCATTCGAATTAATGCCGGGTTTGGGTTCATGATAATACCAGCTACACGCCGTTAAGGTATGAATGGAAGTTTCGATTTGTATCATGTACAATTCAGCAACAACGTTGTTATAAGGTCCGATGTGGTAATGCCAGGACACGCCGACCCGAGCAACGGACACGGGGCAAATGCGCGTTGAATTGATTAGAGTCGCGTAAAACCGCCCGGGATGGGGCAGATTTGATCTGATGTGCACTTTATACCTAACTAGCGCCGAAGTCCCTGAGCGTGAAGCGCGAGACTGGGGAAAAAAAATAAATGGCTACCGACCAGGGGGCCGCCTGGAACTGAGCAGATAACCCTAACCCCTGACTCATTTAATTTCCTATTTCGGATGACTACACGACATGCCGCGTTGAAGACGCGGTTCGTTGAAGATTCCCCATAACCGTTCCCCTCTACGTCAAGCACCTAATTGTATGTCTCAGCTCCATCCTACCTGCCTTACAATTTTCCAAAGTGCCCGCACGTCGCTTTCTGGTTGATACCATTTCTTTTGGGACACGTCTTCTCGTCTTATACCCAGTGGAACTATTGCATTACTCTACGTTATTTCGTTGCTTTTGGATATCACATACCTATACCGACGCCATTGAACCCACACCATTCGAAGTCGCCGGCGTGACGCAGACCAGCGAACAGTTTCCCAGCAGGAGCATGCATTAATCGGTTCACTACCTTTATTCTGGCCTGCACACGCCAACCGAAATGGACACCCTCGCCCCAGCACCCTCCACGCCCTCGCCCCAGCTTTCCCGTGCTGTTCCTGACATCACCCATGAGGAGGAGGGACACGAAGAGGAGTTCGCCCAGAGCATCAATCAGGCCGAAGTTTTAGAACTCCCAACGCTGAGAGAATCCGAAACTCCAGCATCGCAGCTCTCGTCACAGCCGCTGGGAGAGGTCGAGCGTCATCCAAAGGGGAAGAGAAAACGTACTACGTAAGTTTGGTTCCAGCCGGCTGGGAGGCCGGCCGCTGAGCTCCCGTCTTCCATCCCATCTTTTGCTACAACAAGTGGGACTAACCGGACTGCCAATCCTAGAGCAAAAGACAAGGCCATACTCGAGGGAGCCTACAATGCGAATCCCAAACCCGACAAGGCAGCGCGCCAAGACATCGTAAACCGCGTCTCGCTAAATGAAAAAGAAGTTCAGGTTAGCCACGACCGCGTCACCACCCGTGACTGGGTTCACCACATGTAACAGCTAAAGAACTAACGGGCATGCCAGATCTGGTTCCAAAACCGCCGACAAAACGATCGAAGGAAATCACGGCCATTGTCCCCTCAGGAGATAGCCGCGCTTCGGTACGGTGGTATGCAAATACTGTCGTCGGACAATACCCTTCCCGTGTACACGTCCGAGCCGGAGCATACATCGCCCGTCCAAGCCGTTTCAAGTTTAGAACAGGAATACTCCTCGCCTCCTCGGGGGATTGCCTCACCTAGCAGACTTGACCGCCACGAGACCGAGCAGAATCACGAAGACACGTCCCAGGAGGACACTCTACTACTAACAGAACCACAAAGTCAACCTCAAGAGGAGCGAGAAAGCACGGCGCTCCCTGTTTTCGCGACACCCGCCCAGAAACAAAGACACGCCGGTGATGACGACTCCCTCCTAATGTCTCAGCATCTGCCAAGCTCAGTTGGCTATCTGTCCAACCGATGGAATCACCCAGCCCACTCCCACTGCCTATCAACTCCTATCAGCTTCAACCGAGCGGACGATTCCTTCAACAATTTTCCTCCTTCATCGTGTTCATCTTCGACCTCTGCGCTCCGTCCGCGTCTGTCCACGGGTCTGGACGGCAAGGCAGATGTTGTCACCTCGCCACCACAGAATCCTGCCAGCCTTCCACCACCAGAGCTGCAATCGTTCGACTCGGCATGCCGGCCCAGCTACCAACGCGGCCCCAGCGAATCTCCAGTCACCTTACCACCGATCTCAACCATCACTAACAGTCTTTCCTCGTCTCAAAGCGCTGGCCCATTGCTGCCCCGCCTTACGCGCGGGAGGTCGCGCGATGTTCATGCTTGGGAGTTTGCTTGTGATGCAGAGAACCGCGAAGACGCACTAACGGTGCAAGCCAATAACGAGAGCCGTGGCTCAGCAATTGCAGCCATCAGTCTGCTGAGATCAACGAGCTTGAGCACCGCTGGCGGAGGCAGCCCGTTGCAACCGAGCAGGAGCAACAAGCGCAATGCCAGCATCAGCGGCATGACCCCACGGGCAGACAGTTCGACCAAGAAGCCCCGACTGACGAAAGGGCTGAGTGCCACGGCAAGGCTAGAGACGCCCAACAACAACATTTGGGCTGGAAAGCGACAGTCCTTTGCGGCAGATACGCCAGCGGGTTTCAGTTACAACACCAAACCCAAGTCTTCTGCCTTGTTCATCTCCCCACAAGGCAACGAGTCCGACAAAGAGAACTGGAGTCCAGATGAGAACGGAAACCCCCGCTTCTCCTACCATCAACCTTCCTCTGCTATTCGGCCAACGAACCGACGACTGCTGCCCTCTGGTCCCTTGTCATCATCAACTTATGAAAAGACAGTGGCGACAAATCCCCGCCGAACACCGGCCCATCACGCTCTAATAGAGTCGAGCCCATCGTTTTTGTTATCCGGCAACCGTGCTAACACCGCCCCTCTCTACGGTGGTGGTAGGGGACAGTATCACCGAGGAGGAGGAGGAGGAGGAGATAAACGGGACGGAGGAGCTTCGGAGTTAAGGATTTACGAAGACTTTGGCACGCCGAATCACAACAACCACAGCCCAACCGCTTCTCGCCGTGCTCCTCCCCCTCCTTTCGAAGACGATGGAATGGACGAAGTCGAGCGGTTCATGCGTGGGGAAGTCAGTCCAAGCAAGAAGGGGGATGCGGATGCCGTTGCTGGGTTGCTTTCGCTTAGTCAGGGGAATTGGCGGTGATGAGGTCTGTCTGCCCTGGACGAGGTCTGACGTCTACGGTCGGTCTCAGTCATTGTGCAAAGTACAACGGAGCCTTTGATCATCAATTTCAGTGTATTGTACGGCCAAAAGCTTTCCTCCAAAGACAGAAGCATCTCGGATTGTAATCTCCCCCGTTCGGTTTGACACTCAACGCAAATTTGCTTCGAGCGCTTAGGCTCAGGCGTGGTGGAAATTAGCGGGCTATACCTATCTCGGCGGTATTCTCCTTTTTTTGCTATTATATATGTCAGTTACTGTCAACGATACCTTCCGCTATATAGCACGCGTGTATTTGGCCGGCTTGGTTCCCTGGATGCCGGCGTTCTCAATGCGAAACAAGATGGCACAACACTCTTATTTGGTTCAGTTGCCTGTATATCGAGAGCCTCAGTCTCTCTATTCTGGGCGGGCAGGGGGACGGAGAAGCGGAACAATGTGAAGTTTTTGTAAAACAGCGAGCCATTGTCTCAAGAGATGTGCTTGATATCGTACATGATAATGTAGAGTCAAGGTCGGCGGACTGAAATAACTACGCTACGTAGGCATTCACTACACAAATCATGCCTGGTCGATCAACTGTGTGGCACTGAGTGACGCATTGGCTACCCATCGCTCGGTTAACCCTAACCCTCCCTATTTATGCGTAAAAGGGGCGTTCAGCGTAGCCAGTCCTAGCAGTAAACATATAACATGATGAGCATACACTTTCCGTGATATGGTCAAGCAAGTACCGGAATGACAGGAATCACCAGTGAGTGTTCGAACTTTGTCCAGAGAATCTGGTTGTTCTATTCATCACTCCTTTCTTATTTAGCCAAAAAAAATGTAAGAAGTCCGAACTAGAGACTCCGTAGACGCCAATTGTTATAAAATCCCAAGACCTTTCTTTCCAGAAGATATATCCTTTCAAAAGTGCGCACTTTCGGCGCGTGCTCTGTGATTCCGCCCATGCCTTCTTTCCACTTAAAATCCGTTCCGTTCCTCGATACTAATGTTTCCTTCCTTCCTAGCAATGTGATTTGAGTCTTCGCTCATCATATAGTAACTTCCATGGATCCATCAAGCTCTTTCATGCTCTGTCCTCCCGTCTTCCTTCAGGATCTTTCGCTCCCTCCCCACATGATGCAATAAATAGGTGATGTAATAAAAAGCCATCGCTTATGCCTTCTTTGAAACACACGGTTGCTTTCTTTCCAACGATCCAACAACCGCTCCGTATCCAAGGGGGAAAAAAAAGTTCACATCCCCAAGAGACTCATCTGCCTCCTCAACGGACTCGCGCTCACGCTCCCCTCCTCACTCGCATAACAAGCCGAATCCGTATCAATATCCCACCCTTCCTCCTCTTGCTCGCCTCCCGCATCGCTTCCCGCCCCTCCTCCTCCCGAGGAAGCGTCAAAGGCCTTTTGCATCGCGCCGCGCGTGTTCCACCGCAATGTTCTAGAGACGCTGTCGAACCACTCGGCGTCAGTGCGGACGACCGTGGGAAAAGGGTATTGGGAGGCCGTGATGGTGACGTGGTCACCCTGGCGAAGCTCGACGCGGCCTTTTCCGTCGAAGGCGCAGTAGGCAGTCGCGCGGCTGTTGCGCGGGATGGAGACGCGCAAGAGCATAGTGTCGGAGAGTACCATGGGGCGGAAGGAGAGCGTGTGTGGGCAGATGGGCGTAAGCAGAATGGCGGGGATGTCGGGGTGGACGAGGGAGCCGCCGGCGGAGAGGGAGTATGCTGTTGAACCTGTGATTGGGACAAGTTAGCGTCAGGTCTCCCGCATGGGGTTTTCAGAGGCTGTGTGACTAGGTTTACCTGTAGGAGTGGAGAAGATGCAACCGTCCGCTTGGATGACGGTTAACAGCTCATTGTCACCATATAGTTCGAGGTTGGACACATAAGGCGACGGCCCTCGATCGATGACCAACTCGTTGAGCACTTCGAACTGCTCGCCTTCCTCCATTTCGTGTCCTAGTGGGCCATCTCTGTATACTGTGCATGTAAAGCGCATGCGCAGGTTGACGCGCATACCCTCGTCACCCATGATGCGGTTTAGGTGATCCTTGTACCTTTCGAATTCGAAGTTGGTCAAGAAGCCCAGGCTTCCCAAGCTGAATGATAGTACTGGCGGGACAATGCGCTGGAATAGCCAGGAGGTGAAGAGGACGGTGCCATCGCCGCCTAGAGTGAGCACCAAATCGAACTTCTCGGGCTGACTCCAGCAAAGATCTGGCGACCAATATTTGAGCATGGTCTTGAAACGTGGGTTTTCGTCGGTAATGCTCGCGGCGTTGAATCGTTTCGAGTTTCGAAGCTTGGCGTCGACGTAGACGTTTACTCCGAGGTCGGAGCCATAACGGGGGGTCCGGAGAAGCCATTGGGCTAGTTCGCGGGTGAGGACGACCAGCTGGTTGTCGCGGGCCTTGGTAACGATCATAACGTTCTTGACGGCTCGTCGAATAGGGCGTCGTTGGAGCTGCTTAGACACTTCTCGTACACCGGTGGCCGTCTGGACAAGACGGGAATGCGACATCCACTCGTCGTTCTTGATCTCCTCCAGGACCTTGTCGATATCGACCGCGTCATCGAAGCGATTGTGGTAGAAGCATGGTGACTGTAGCGAAGTGCTGCCGGACAGGGCGATGCCGTTGAGGGCGTCGCACAGCTTCTGCGACGACGAAGAAGTGGAGGGACGGTTGTCGCCGTCCTGGGGCATGTTGTGGGCGGACAGCATGCCGGAAAGAGAGAGAGGTTGAGGTCTGTTGTTGCGGGCCACCGAGGCCAATGCTTTCATAATAGTCTGCCGGGGCACAGACTCAATCGACAGGGCGTTCTTCTTATGTCCGGGAACGTGTGGTGGAGGTTGCGAGTGAGGGAAGGTTGCGGCTGAGGCTGAAGCGGGAGGGTTCGCGGATCGCCCCGAGTTGTAGTCCGTCTGCACGGGGGTATCTAAAGAGAAAAGGGGAGATTCGGATGCAGGTTTGGGAGTCTGTCTGGGTGTCACCGAGTCCAGGCCGTCATGTCGGAGATTGGGGGATCCAGCTGCGGTATCTGCGTCGGAGATCGCGCAACTATCCAAGGCTGACGCACGTCCTAGAGCTGCATAGGAACTCTTTGGGCGGTCAGCATCATCGGAGAAGCGTGCCTTGGTATATCCATCGGAGGCACACTGATCCAGGGATGCGAACGACGGGCGGTTGTGTGGGAGCGGAAGGAGAAGCGGGTGTGGGTTGGTGTGAGATTGTGGTGGGCGAGAGGATTGGGGATCAGAGTCAGACGGATTGTTGGGATGAGAAGGCCCAGCACTCCCGCTCCCGGGCGCAGGCGAGGTGGCCGCATCGCTCAGCGCTGGGTGGATCGCTGTGGGCGACAAGATTGAGGCCGGCAGCGGCATGTTGACAGGGTCTCTGCTGGTGAAGGGCATGTTGGGTGGATCGATCGGTGGTGGGAAGTGGGAGCTGTCTTTAGCGCAGGTAGTATACCGTGGTGGAAAATACCGTTGTCTATTTTCGGCAGATCGTCCGCTTTGCTTTGCCGCAGCCCGAATTTAGCCAGTTCTTCGTTTTGTAGCCGGGTACAAAATCCGCCGGCTCAGCTCACTTGCTGAAAAAGGACCCGGTCGAATTGGTGAATGATTCGAGATCGCAAAGTAGCTGGCGAAAGGCCGCACTGGGAAAACGCCCGGTTAGCCCCCGCGACTGTAGGGTTGCGTATGGGGTAAAGAGTCACCAAGAAATTGGGGACGTTGGAGTGCTGCAAGGTAATCCGTACAGTGTGTGATTAGTGCAAGGAACCTCGACAACGAGTTCCGATTGACTTATCGGATTGCACGGAACGAGGACAAAGGCCTTTGTAAGATGCGACCCGCTGCAATGCAATCGTCTCAGTGCAACGGTGAATGCAGCACGGCGGGATGGGGCGCTGCAACGAATTGAGAATGACAAGTCGAGTCCTCAAGATCCGATTGCGACGTCACCGAGATAGGTAGGTAGTGAAGCTGATATGTTCCTAGCCAAATGTCTGTGCCTGGGCGCAAACACGAGCAAGTACAGAGTGTCTGGCAAAGATCAAACAACAGCGGTGGTTGTCTCGCGTTTCGGGTTTCGCTGCAAGCTTGGCTGTGAAGTGCGCTATAGCGTGATTGCGCTATCAAGTTACACAACAGGCCAAGGAGGAGTCAAAAAACAGAGGCAAGTCTAGGAAGTTGGAAACGAGCAGTTAGCGGGTCCGTACGTTTTCCAGGGTTCCCTAGTCAGAACGAGTCCAGATCTCTTTATGCTCTCAAAGTTGAAGCCAACATGGCGCTTAATGCGAAAGGAATAGCCCGAGACAGCAGAGAAAGCAAAGCAAGGGCAGAAGTACCTACCTAGTTCTGATATGCAGGTGCCAACAGTCTTAGTTGGGGCGCGGGTATGTGATTCCGGTGTGACGGTATTCCTGCCGTGGTTTTTTGCTGACAATGCGGAGAACAATTGGCACAATACGCTGTAGGATCGTGACCAGTGATACGCACGTGGCCTTGTGTATGGCTTTGGAGCGTGGAGGAATCGCTTGTCGTTGGGAACGGGTCGCAGTGTGTGTGTGTGTGTGTGTGTGCCGTAGAGACGTCGCTTATATATCTGGATACGCTGCCCAAGATAAGTTTTGCCGAAAAGGAGGTCCAACGCTAATCGGTAGTCTTATGCCTTGATCATTATTCGACGTGATCAGGACACTGATTGGGCCGTCAGGTAATTTGGAATTGTCTGGGCGTCCGACGAAGGAGGGCGGAGGGAAGAGATATTAAAAAGAAGTTACAGAAATAGTGAAAGTGAGAACTGCCAGAGTTCTGACAAGGTAGATGCCTCCTGGGCACAAAGAATGGAAGTCCTTGAGCAAGGAAGAGTATAGACAGCGAAAGTAGCAAGTGTGCACACAAACCAGGAGCAGATGATGAAGGCAAAAACGATAAACATCAGTTGAGCTTGTGATTTAATACCACAAGTCGAGTCCGGGAGCAGAGCGGGGCGCCGGGGTAGATAGTGGTAGACGTTTCGGCGGGTCGCAATCTGTGAGATCGGGATGGAGCTGTTCGACGTATTCGGGGTGCGCCAAGGGGATGGAGTTGTCCTAGGCTACCCCGGAATGTCTACACTATACGTACGTGTGTACTATAGCTATCCTATTTTGGGATTGCAAGCCCGAGTAGGTTCCTGTGACAGTTTCTTTTGGGCGGCAGCATTATAGAGCTGCAATGGCGGGTATCGAAACGCTGAGATAGATTTGTCGAGACGGGACGATGTCTGAAAATGGATACAGCTCGTTGTGATTATGCCTTCGGGTTGTCTAATCTCTTCAGGTTCCTAGTGCTCGTGACAGAGGCGTTTGCGAGTAAACTCTAGCATAACTCGAAGCTCCGAATCGATCTTTTCCCCCCCATGTGATGCGAGGAGAGGTCCAGAGCATGGTACACTTACGTCTCATGTATCCTGGTGCGGCTGGGGTTTTGGAGGCGAACGTCCGGGGTACAGGCGTTAGCGCGGCCGCTCAGACAGTACCTCACGGCACAGGTTGCCGATGCTGATGGTCCGTCTCCGGCCAGGGCGCAAAGGTACCAGATATCGTCTCTGCATCAATCAGTATGCCATTGCGGGTATTCAGAAGCCGCATGATAACACAAGCGTTTTTGTTTCCGTATTCTCGCTGCACGAACTACTCTCCAGACCTTCGTCACAGGGACCGCACGTGGTGTTCTGTGAAGCCCTGTTTGACCCGCTGGAATCAGATAAATGCCTTTCCGCATTGATGCCGTTCAGGCCGCGTAGATAGCCCAATAAAAGGCGAGCACAGCCATGGTCAAGAAAGTCGGAATGGGACTGAAAATTGTGTGTTGCATAGAACTAATCCTGACTCGTACGGAGGCGAAGAGTAGTCGCTCTTGAAAAGCCCAATGCAGGGGCACCAAAACCGGCACCTCGAGGCTCATGCTGCGTGAGTGCGATATGATCAAGTTCGACGGTTCCCATCATCTGGATTGTATAGCTCCCACAAACCCCAGTGCCACATTGAAGCACCCCTTTATCTCCGCTTCAATCCTGTCGATTGGATTTCAGGCGTACCAGACATACCAAGACCGTACTTCCCAACGTCACAGGTTCGAGTGCCTGGAAAGGCGACATGAAACAGGGGTCTGGCCCTGGCCTGGGATAGTTCCAAACACGACCCCTATGTCGGACCCACCTCTTGTGCGTTTGAAGCGGCGATAGTTTCGTCAAAGGAACCGGTGCACAGCAACCCAAGTAAAATCCCACTTGAGATTGTTATCCACTCCGCTGCCATGATATCCATCCCGATCACAATCGCCGCTTTGCCAGGTGATGTGTAATTGTGCTGGAAGAGGAGCGGTTATCTTTTGAACGTGTTTGGTCCGTATCTGTCCAGACTGGCTTTTCTCCTCGGCATCAGGGGGCCTCGAGTCGCATTGCAAGCTGCACTTCTCCCGTCAACCGGCGAAAAGGCCCATTGGTTCTCTTTCCGGAAACACACGAGCCGAATGCTCAACCTTTCAGCTTTTGAAACGCGCAAGGTGCGAGCAGACAGTTCAAGACCAAATGTAGCTTCACTTCCAGTAAAGGTCGGATGCTATCTTGGTCTCCAGCGCCGACCGAAGGAAATGGCGCATATCTGGGCCGGATGCGTCATCGTCAAGCATCATATCGATCCCTGCCTGCTTCGAGGTAGTCTGGCAGCAAATCTGATGGGCCCTTTCGTACACGTCGTCCCACTCCTTGACGGTGAAGTCGCCTTCGCTTTCTGAAAGAAGAAGTTCATCGTGGGAGGTGAAAGCAAGGGCGTGTAGCGAGGTAGCCTCTCCGATATCTTTAGGAGAGGGATCAGCCACAATCTTATTCGAACCGTCCTCGGGTACCACAGCGACAACTGTGGATGTCGCGGTCGCCTTCATTGGCACAGTAGCCGATAAAAGAGCGAGAACGGCAGCCTGGAACAAAGCCGGATGATGGGGAGGTTCTGTTGCCAGGATTAGCTGTAGTCTATCGACATAATGAGAGGAAGTTTTGAGTAATCTTACCAAACTGGCCTGGACCAGCTTTGTGTTGACGTAAGCATTTTCAGGTGTACTCTCGATTTGAAGAACAATCTGAATGACGGAACGGGGGAAGTTCTTGACAAGGATGATTTGAGAAAGAGAGGACTGCAATATGGATTCCAGATGGCGTTCTCGGGTTCCTATAAAGAAAGGCAAAGTAGGTGAGATGTTGTCCCTTTCCTGGGCGGTGGTGTCATTATGATGTTCTCACCTCCTACCCCGGCAGAGGGTCGTACGATAACATCAACGTGAGCCTCATAAGCGTGTTCATCCCGGCGCTGAGCCTCAATGGGTCCATTGACTGAGGCCGTGACCGTGTACCCAGCATACGAGTACCTGGCCGATCCATCCGCCCGGGAAGGGCGTTAAGGGACGCTTCGGGTGCCGCAGTGGTCATAATGTGAGTGGTATTTGGGTCGGTGTGAGGATGGGCAGGGCTTGAAGTTTGGTTGTGACAGGCGACGGCCGAGGTCTAGTTGTGATTGAGGTTGCTTCAGTTCTGCGGCGCGAGTGAAGATTTGAAAGGCGGGATGTTGAAGGCGGGTCGTTCCTCCATGACGGGATCTGCAGCCCGGGCGCTAGCTTTTGAGATGACCCCACTCCGTTCCTTCCCAGCGGCGGGCCCAGCAGTGCCTGCCAAGCTTTCAGGAAGCTGCAGCCCAGGCCAGCCCAGCCAGTAGAACGAAGTCGCGAACGGCCCGCCAGAGAACGCCATTACACCACCGGGGCGTCAGCACTTTGCCTGCCCCATGATGGCTCTACAGCGGGGTAGAAGCTCCCAGCATTCAGGGGATTGCCCCCGCCGTCAATAAACTTCCATCCTACATCTACACACTTGTAACCTCTCCTACATCACGGAACCAACATCCTCAGCTTCGGTCACGACAGCTGAAATCCGGAATCCAGTCAACTACGACACGACGACGTAGGATTTCACCACAGTACTGTTTAAATCACACAAGTTTCATCATGGATGCAGCAACGAGAACAGGAGGGCCAGGAACCGGCCAAGGATCACCAACAGCCACAGGACAAACCATCTCCAAAGCTGGCCCAGCCATCCCGAATCTACGAGACCGCATTCCCAAACTTGAGCCCCGGCGACGGAGACAAGAACCATCAAACTCGACTCCGGTACCAGAAACACCAGCACTACCTCCCCGTCCAGACCTGTCAACCCTAGAGTTCCGGACGCCCGTCCGCCGGATTCTTCTCCGAAAAGACCACGAGCTCTTCCTAGCCTCGCCCACCTTCAACCTCATCCTCTCCTTCGTCTTCTCCCTCTCCGAATCCGTAGCCGACACGCCCATCTCGGCCATCAAGGACTCGGACCTCAGCGAGCCCGTGAAGACCATCCTCCGCATTCTCGACGAGACCGAAGCACTGTGCAAGGAGTCTCCACCAGATGACCAAGGCGGCTCTCGTTTCGGCAACAAGACCTTCCGCCTCTTTCTCGACAAGGTCAAGCAGCGCGGTTCACAATGGCACGCCGCCTTTTCTAATTCTGGGGGGAAACTTCCAGAAGCGGCCGTCACCGAAGCCTCAGCTTACCTCAACCAGTCCTTCGGCAACCGCACGCGCATCGACTACGGCTCGGGCCACGAGCTCAACTTCATGATGTGGCTTTTGTGCCTGTACCAGCTCGCTGTGCTCGAAAAGTCAGACTTCAAGACCCTCGTGCTCCGAGTCTTCGCCCGCTACCTCGAAGTCATGCGCCTGATCCAAATGACGTACTACCTCGAGCCAGCCGGGTCTCACGGCGTGTGGGGGCTGGATGATTACCAGTTCTTGCCGTTCCTCTTTGGCGCCAGCCAGCTGTTGCATCACCATTTTATCACACCGCGGGCGATTCATCAGGAGCTGACTCTCGAAGAATTTGGGCATGATTTCTTGTACCTGGGTCAGGTGGCATTTGTCAATAGCACCAAGACGGTGAAAGGGCTGAGGTGGCATAGTCCAATGCTGGATGATATCAGCAGTGCGAAGAACTGGGAGAAAATTGAGGGAGGAATGAGGAGGATGTTTGTGTCCGAGGTACTGAAGAAGTTGCCGGTTATGCAACACTTCTTGTTCGGGTCGTTGATTCCAGCAACGGAGGGTATGAGCGAGCAAGACCCCAACGCTTTGGGTAGCGAGGAGAATGAGGAGGAGGGCGGTGAGGTGGAGGTCTACGACGATAGTGACGGTAAGAGGCATGTGCACCAGCCGACTGGCTGGGGCGATTGCTGCGGCATCAAGGTACCGAGCAGTCTGGCGGCGGCGGAGGAAATGAGGAAGAGGGGACAGGTGGAGAGTTTGAGGAGGATACCCTTTGACTAGTCAAGGTCCAAAGTTATGTCTACCAGTATGGAAATTACGGCAAACAGGGTGCATCTGCTTGCTTACCAAGTTACCAACATGAAACCCCGAAGAAAGCCGTAAAGAGTCTGAATGGCCATACAGCCATGCTCATGAACTACCCATGACCCATGTGTTACTACAAACAAGTCTTAGAGAGTTTAAAATGAATCCGGTAGAATAATACGGTCAGAGCCAAATGAAATCACATTCGCGGGTTAATATTGCCCTACGACAATGACTTCACGCCATCATTTTGAAAGAGATTTTCGGTCTATTCAACGACTGAGCGGGTTACTAGGCCGGGACGATGAGGTGCCATCCCGTCATAGGCAAGGAGAAGCTGATGATGTATCAAATATAAAAGGGAGAAGCATTATATAAAATGGGTATAGAGAGCGTCACTTCCCTCTTCACTTCTCTCTTCACTTCTGTTTGGCGTATTAATCACACCAGTAACATCACGTTCACTGCACCCATATCTATATATCACTTAGTCGTGTGTCAACGAGCAAGCATCACAGTAGGGAAGCGATTTACAGTTTGAAGATGATATGAATTCAAGTAAGCGAATCCTATAGAGCGCTTATGATGGCTTGGCTCCTCAAGCCATAGGGGAATTCGATGATACCATACAGTCCAGTCCAGGCCAGGTCCAGTCCAGGCTAGGTCCAGTCCGAAACCCCGATAGTCGCAAACCGAAACGAGCGAAAAGAAAAGAAGAAACCCATGATGAAAACGACAGAATAACCTCATTGATGATGATGGCAGAAAACGAACCCCCCACCGCATTCATCGCAAGTTACCCAACGAACAAAAACGGCTGCTGCCATAGGCGTCCTTAAACTGTCGGATGCCCATGTCAGAGAGGGTATCGAAAGGAATAATTCCATCCCCCAACCTAACGCCGCCAATATTTCCCAATGGTTGAAAGAAGTCGATGCCGATATGCTTGGTGAAAAGGAGAAAAGACTGAAAAAAAAAAAAGCCGCCGTTTATGCAAAGAAGATAACCCCGTCCTCGTCCTCGTAACTAGATCAGATCCGCCAACGCGCATCTGCCTGTCTGGATATCACTGCTGATTTTGGTGTCGTTTCTTGGTACGGCACCGGATCCAGAGTCGCAAGAACACGCCGGAAGGGTTAATCCTCCCAGATGGTCTCCAAATCGAGATCCTGCCTCCTCTCAGCACCGCAGACACTCCATCGCTTGCGCTTGTCTCTGGAACCAAACCCTAGCGTCCTGCCTCGCAAGTCCGCACTCGCTTTGCCCTTGGTATCACCACCACCTTCCGCCGCCTCCGCCGCGGCCTTCAGCTGCGCAATTCTCTCGGCCTCCAAAGCAGCCTCCTCGGCGTCTGGGGTGTCTGGGATGGTTTCAAGACTGGAAATGCTGGGGCTCCTGGATCTCATCGAAGTGGGTGTTGAAGGCATGGAGGATGTGTAGTAGTTGCTGGAAAACGAGTCGTAAGCTCGGTAAGAAGGCGACGATGCGACTGAAGAAGGGGTTGATGGTATGGATGGCAACGATGTGGTGCTGGAATGGTGAACGAGTCGCAAAGGCGAAGAGGGTCTCCGTAGTCGGGCCGCCGAAGTTGCTGTGGATGTTGACCCCAGAGTAAGGTTTGGCGAGCTATTTCTTTCGGAAAGCTGCCTGTCGTGGTCATGGACCGACATGCGAGTTGGCGAAGAAGGGAAAACTTCGTCGACTGGCTTGCGCAGGGGACGGACCCGGCTCGGCGACTGAGCAGGGCTCTGTGGTCGGATATGTGGTGAGAAGAGAAGGTGGCCGGATCCATTTACGCCGGGCATAGACTGGGTGCGCGCCATGGGCGGTGCTAGGTTTACTGCTGACCTCGACCTGACATGAAGCGTAGACAGCGGCGATGAGGCGCGAGGGCGATACGGAAGTGTGGGAGTTGACCAAGATGGTGAGGTGGGGGATGCTGGAGAGGGGTCGGTTGATCGGCGAAGGGTGGGCGGCTTGCGCAAGTAGTCGAACTCGGGTGCGTTGACTCTCAAACTGGGAAGAGGAGAGGGACGGAACTCCTCCATTCGCTCGGTCTCTGGGACAGGTTCCATGGCGATGGGCGCGGCAGTCGATGCTCTCTCGGAACTCGACCTGTTGTTACCTCGACACAGAAATCATGGACTGGCGCAGAAAAGGATGGAATTCGGAAGACGTGAGCGAAATATAACGGGTATTTCTGTGATTTTCTGAACCCGGGAGACTGTCACAACACACTGCACTCGGCACAGCAGACAAGATATCCTTGTCTTTTCCTCCGAGACAACAATGCTTGGGACCGGGTCAGGGTCGGGGTCGGGTTCGGGGATGTGGTTTTCTTTCTTGGCCTGGACTGAGGTCCCTGGCTGGCGAGGTGACCTGGATCTGGTCTCGGTCGCTGGGATGGGGATGGGGTATCCAGTCTCCAGTCTCCAGCATCCGGCGATGTATCCGGTACCCGTCAATGGAAAGCCCTGACGGTAGGTGCCGTGCTCGCGACAATGCCTGCGAGCGAGCTTTGAGACGGTGAATCCACGCCTGTGTCGCACAAGGGGGGGAGGGGAGAGGATTTTGTTGACGTGACGGTAAGAGACTGAGTTTGTGTGCTCAGTGAAAAAGAGAAAATGGTGGCTTTTTGGTGCAAGAAGGCGGCGGGAGGTAGTTTATTTGCTGCGGCACGGTAACCGCAACGACCTGGAGTCTTTTCAAGCAACAGGCACCTGCAACTGCAACTGGCAGAGAGCGATAGCGAATGGAGACGGCAGGACCAGAATGTGAAAAGGACAGGGCCGATGCAGCTCGGGCTGGGAGAGCTGGGACGAGGAGAGGAGTTCTGGAAGCTAGCCCGTACTTGAAGCGGGCAAATCCAAGAGCAGAAATGGACAGGGCAATGCAAGTGACAAGACTTTAAATGCTGGTCGATGCGTCGAGTGCAGTGCGCTGAGTGGGCAAACGATGGCCACTGCACTGGTGAATGTGAATGGCCAACTACACTATCATGGTCAAGATGAACCTGGAAGTTTGAATCGCGAGTGATGAATGGTGCAGCGATGTGCTTGTGATGAAAATGAATGGCACGAACGGGCAATAAAAACCTAAAGAGGCAGCCTGGTGCTGTAGCTGAGTGATGGTACCTGTCTGACAGTACCGGTAGACAGGAGGAGAAATCCCAGGCCGGCGAACCAAAGTGGGAGGGTGGAGGAGGCGGGGTCTTTACCCGGCAGCGACGCGTCGGATGCACCAATCAGAGGGCCTGATACTGAGTAGCCCATGATTGTCAGTGGAGCGCCCATCCTGCCATCAAAAAGCAGCCATTAAAGGAAACCCATGAACGTCTGCACAGTTGCACACCACCTTCCACTTCCTCCTCCTCCCGCCGCCGTCGCTCTTGCGCGCCCTCGCAGTCAGAAAGCCGGAAGCCGCAACTGGACCAACTGAAAACCGTCAATGTGAAAACCCTGAAAGAACGGAAAGCCCGATTGACGCTCACTCGGGCCTAGTGCCGGTACCGGTACGGCGTAAGCGAAGCCTACCACGCCCCCCGCACTGGTTGTCCCCGAGGTGTTAGCGCGCTGTCGACAGAATGACTGGCAGCATGATTTCTCCGTAGGGGCCAACAGACCCCAAGCAGGACCCATTCAAAAAAGCTTGACTTTATTCGCACACTTCGGCCTCCCGAAAACGCATCTCCTCTCGGTCGGAGTTTGGCTTTTCATTTGGAGGTGGCGGATCTTCAACTCTCACGGACGTTGGTTTGAGCCGCTTGCCGGTTCAAACGACCATCGCCTCTCAATCAGGGCTAATCACTCGGAGAACCGGGTCAAGCGACCTTCGCGTTCAACGCGACACTTGACCCAGAAGGATGCCAATAACAGCCTGGAATTCAGACCGTCTCGGCTATCTCGACCAGCCTAAGGTACGTACCAGCTTTTGAGAGACAGCTTTTCCGTTGGCGCCATCCGTATCACCGGGCATCAGGTGAGCACTCGCTGCCGTGGTTGAGATAATGGATGGTGTTTGAGAAGCAAGGGACGATAGGGGATTCGCCCATGGCCGCCCATATGGTACAACAGTTGATGGCAGGGAAGTAGAGAGAACGCGGCTGAAGAGGCGCCTGCGCGTATCCTCGTTAATATATCTTCCTTCTGACCTTTGTTGGGAAATACGCCGGTATTTCAGAGTCAATGGCGACATGATATCAGTCAGCGCTTTTGCACGCTTCCCACCAACACCCTTTTCGGATGCCAAGTTCGATAGTATATCTCAATACACAATCTATTAGGTCCGTATGGTGTTGTTCAACTGTCACGCCCGGGATGCCATTGAGGGTCACCGATCTGTGGCAGATTATCGATTTACAATTTCTCGGCAACTGCTGGTTTGTTTGCTTGTTCTCGACGAGTCTGCCCAGTTGATGTGAAACCATTCAACCGTTGAGGCAAGGGGGGAAAGCGTGCATCGACTCGTCCCATCAACCAACCCATCACCACGGCCATGTGGATTACCGGCCTGTGACGAGTTCCTACAATATGCACACGCAAAATCCGGACATCCACTCAATGCCTGTCTTCCCCTAATCACGATTTTCAAGCAAGCATGCGTTTTCTCCTGAGGGTCGAGCGGTGAAAGCATAACACATGCTGGGAAGATGAAGCGACAGATGACCATGGGCACCTGGCACTAATCAGATAGATTGAATCATGCGCGCCACTATACTTGGTTGACAAACCAGGCAAGCCATCCAGGCCTTTGTGCCCCCAAAACCTCCATATCCAACAAGCCTCAATGCACGATCAGTCTCCACTGTATCACTGTGCTTGCTTCTTCTACACAACTGTGTGCATCGTCTCGAGTAACCGTCCAATTACATGGTTGGCAAGAACCGGAAAGTCATGCACAAAGGGTGATGGATTTGCCAATATGTCAGGGCAGCGATGACCGCGCATTGAAAGCGGCATCTTTCAGTGGTCGAGCCTACTGTGTGCATACTATGCCTCCGTGATAAAAGTATTCCGTTGGCTGTTAGTCACACATGTCAAAACCACAGAAGGGAGTTTCTGCTGATCGGCGCACATGGGACCCACACCACCTCCGGCTCCCCGCCCGAGTGGATCTCCGTGCCGAAGTGGATGTGACGGAGCCGGAGTCGGGATGCGGCCCGGGAGCCACGGGCTCGTGACCCCGGTAGATGACTGAACCCCTGAGCTAAACATCAAACTCTTGAGAGTTCTACACTACGGATCTGCCGTTGGGCTGACATGGTACTGTAGCAAAATGATACCACCTTTTAGTGACAAAGATGAGGAGCATCAACGGAAGCCAGTAATGGATACAGTTTCGGTTGCTTCATGGTAACTCGTCGTTCCATGTCGTCGAAGGCAGAGATATCTTGTTGATATGCGGCTGTTTTCCCGTCCCTGCCACTCATCCTTCCGGTGGAAACCTAACAATGATACAATCAGTTGTCCGGACTGTATTTCATTGTTTAACCCTGCACAACATATAAGAAACATAGGACATCAGGCCCTCTATAGTGCACGCCTTCTAGCCACTAGGTTTGACACACTCGCAAAGCTTCTACATTTGACGGCTCTGAGGTGCATTCACCTTCATGGTAAATAGTTCAGCCTAGCTTAGTCGATGCTAGAAGGCAAGATAATGAGAGGTCTCAGCGAGAAGAAGCTGCTATCGTGATGTACCGCAATACTAGTGTTCGGGGAGGCCCTACCGGGCCTCGGCCCTTCCGTAGTGGATAAAAGGCTGGTACCGTGCGTGATTATCAGACATGAGAGGAATACCGCCTCCTCTCACTCAACTGGGTTTTATCTACCCGCAAAAACTAAACCTACTCTAGTTTAGGTCAATGGCACAGTTAAATCATCCGCTTGAACCGTTATAGGTCACTTGCATGCCAGCTATCAAATCAAGCGTTGAGTGGTTCACTAAGTCTGCCGGCCACGATGGCATTCCAGTTCTGAAGTGACTCCCAGATGCGCTAGGCTGTAAGAGGGTTAGATAAAACCCAATGGAATAAGAGGAAGCGGTACTTGGTACGTTGGGAAGGAAAAACGGGACGAAAATGCTGCACTAACAGAAAAAAACAGTTAAATATTAGGCTTAATAATTTTTTCGGGCAAAAAACAGTTCGTGCGGTAACAGATAGATAAGGCTTGCAGAGTTTTGTATGGGTCCCGCCCGCAAAATGCACTAACCCACTACCCGCAACTTTTAGCGCCTATTGAGCTGTAGATATATAGATATAACTGTGGTAGACTATAGAGAAGAGAAGTGGAAGTACCTCCAGAATGTGAATGATTTGGGATGATTAATTGTGACTCACAGTGGCGAGCTCCTGTGCTTGGCCTGTGTGGAAACCGAATTTGACATTTCCGCAGCCTTCTTTTAGTGGGGCCGGGCAGCAATGAACCAACGGCAAGCAGAGAATGCCTGAAAACGCCACCACCATTACCATTTCTGTCCCAGTTAGTAATCTTACCGTACCCGTCCTCGTCTTCAACCCTTTCAAAGGCTTCACTTGTCAGTCGAGGTTCACCAAGTGGAGATTCTGCTCCGGCTGCAGTTTCCTTTTAAAAAGCCGACTTAACCCCTTCAAAAGCGTGCTTACTGAAATACTTCCTCTCTTCTTGAGACTGTTCCTGGTTTGCACTTTCGAGGCTCTTCTTCAGCTTGCACTTTCGGTGCACTTGGGCCCAATCTTTTTTCTTTTGCTTTCACTATCCGAAGACGCTGTATTTCAAAAAGTGCACACAACAATACCGACCTATTTTTTCGCCAGCTCGTCACCCAGCACACAGTCCCAACGGGTCTTCCATCATCATCGCTGTCGCGACGCATTACCAAGGACTAACGGATCAGAGCATAACCATGGCGGACGTTCAAACCGCCACCCCTCAAGGCGGTTCTGGTAGGGGAGGCAGAGGTGGCAGAGGCAGAGGCAGAGGACGTGGAGGCAGGTCACGGAAAGGTCATCACCATGGCTCCGAACGACCAAATGCTGGTGGCGAAACCAGTCAGCCAGCGCAACCAGCTGAACCCTCAAGGAATCTCACGGAAACGGCGAGTGTAAACGCACCCCCGCCATCAGTGCCTACACCGGATGTGCCGTTAGGACCTTCGAGGGAAGGAGGACGAAGAAGGCGAGGAGCTGGAGAAGGTGGTCCCCGGCGCGGGAGAGGAGTCTCATCTGCTCAACGCTCGATCGTGGTATCTCATCGAGGACGGGCACCACCTCCCGGGACAGCGCACACCGCTGAAGAAGACGGCACTGCATCAGGCACCGGCATTAGGGCCGATGCTCCCGCTTTTGTCCCCGGTCAGCCACTTGCAGTTCCAACCCAACAATCAAAAACTGCTCGCACAAGGCCCCAAAGGGAGCCTCGTCCTGCGCCGCCAACTGCCTCCAAGTCTTCGGCGCCTGACTTGGCTACCCGAATTCACGAAGATCTTGCGAATGGACTTTATGAATGCGTCATATGCACTAACGAGCTAACGCGCAATACTCGGATCTGGTCATGCTCCGTTTGCTGGACTGTCACTCATCTATCCTGCGTCAAGAAATGGCACGCCAACCAAGAGAAGAATGCGGAGCAACAGGAGCAAAATGCCGATCAGCCTTTGACTTGGAGGTGTCCAGGCTGCAACTCCCAACTCGTCGAGAAGCCCGGGCCAGATCGCTGTTGGTGCAAAAAGGAGATCGACCCGAAACCTATCCCTGGATTACCTCCCCATACCTGTGGACAGACCTGTTCCAAGCCTCGGGCTACTTGCCCACATCCATGCTCATTGATGTGCCATGCGGGACCTTGTCCACCATGCACATTGATGGGACCTTCCCAGACTTGCTATTGTGGCAAGCATACTTCGACCAAACGATGCAGTGAGACTGAATACGGCAAAGGCTTCAGCTGCGAGGAGGTCTGTGGCGATCTACTCCCATGTGGAGAGCACTTCTGCGAGCAGACCTGTCACCCCGGGTTGTGCGGAGCTTGCGAGATCCCTCTTCTGTCGACATGCTACTGCGGGAAGGAGCAGAAGGAAATACCATGCGATCAACGTGGTGAAGTTGAGGATTCTTTCAACTACGGACAGCTTCAACGTTCCTCGGAAACGGATGATTCGGACCCTTGGTTCGAAAGCTCGTTTAAGTGCAACAACATATGTGGCAGACCTTATGACTGTGGTCATCATGCCTGCCAAAAGCCGTGCCATCCCCAAGACGAAGAATCGACACATTGCCCGTTCTCCCCTGATGTGATCACCCACTGTCCATGCGGCAAAACCCCATTGGCGTCGTTGCCAAATCCTCCGCGGCAATCATGCCAGGATACGATACCTCACTGTGATAAGCCCTGTGATAAGGTCCTCCCTTGCGGCCATCTATGTGAGCAGAAATGCCACACCGGCCCCTGTGGGGTGTGCTCTAAGGTTATCGACATCTCTTGCCGTTGCGGCAGGACAGTGACCCAGTCAGCCTGCCACCAGGGCACGATCGAGCATCCGATGTGCTTCAGGGTTTGCAAGGTCCAACTGAACTGCGGCAGACACGAATGCGGCGAGCGTTGTTGCCCGGGCGAGAAGAAGGCCGCAGAGAGACGGAAAAAGAAAAATCGCGGGCCGAACGAGAACTACGAAGCAGAACATATCTGTCTCCAAGTTTGTGGCCGTACACTGAAGTGTGGTCAACACACGTGTCAGCAACTCTGCCACAAGGGTCAGTGCCCGTCCTGTGTTGAAGCTGTCTTTGACGAGATCAGCTGCAATTGTGGGCGCACCGTACTCTATCCTCCACAGCCATGCGGAACGAGGCCGCCCGAGTGCCGATTCCCGTGTAGACGGCGCCAACCATGTGGTCATCCTCCTGTTCCTCACCCGTGTCATCCGGATGACATTTCCTGTCCCAAGTGTCCGTCCTTGATGGACAAGCCTTGTATTTGTGGAAAGGAGATCATGAAGAACCGCCCATGCTGGAACAATGAAGTCCATTGTGGGCTCCCTTGTGGAAAGAAGCTCAAGTGTGGATCGCACGTGTGCAAGAAGACATGCCACAAGCCGGGCGAGTGCGAAGATGCCGGCATTCCTGGCTCACACTGCGCCCAGGCTTGCGGCAAAGTACGCAAGTCTTGCGAACACACTTGCACCGAGCAGTGTCACGCTCCATATCCTTGCAAGGAGGACAAGCCTTGCCAGTCCAAGACGTTCATCACTTGCCCATGCCAGAATCGCAAGCAGGAAGTGCGTTGCATGGCCACGATGCTGAACCCCTCGTCGACACGGGAGTCTTCGCTGAAATGCGAA